AGGAAAGATCACGTGACCGTGATCGCCCAGATCGCCCAAGTCGCGAGCGACGAAAGCGATGTGTGCGATCCAACAGAGAACGAAGGTTCTATATAAGACTGGCACGTCTGCCATTTAGATAGGAACTTCGTGCTCAACTTAGTTATCAATCTTATCATATTTGTTTGACATCTTTGATACAAGTAACGAGTTCACTTCCAAGTGAACAACCCGATAGTCTTCTTCTTATCATAGCATACCAACCAGCGAACACCCAGCCAGGTTTAGTTAGCCAGTTTGAGTATTCGTTACACTATTCTCCTTACTAGCTATATATAAGAATAGAACTATTACCTTAAGCTTCTTATAAATCTAAGATAGTATAAGTTACCTATTTTCTTAAATTAATTTACAAGGTTATTATCTTGTAATTAAATCGCTTTAGCTAAAAGTATAGAAGAGATCTAGAAGTTATTACGTTCTCTAAGCTACTCTAGGCTACTTCGTAAATATAGGTGTTAGTATAAATAGTATAGCAGTCTATTTATACTAGTATATTAAGTAAGTAAGAGATTAATTAAGCTATAATAACCCTTTTTATATTACTATCGAAAGTTCTACGCTCTTTTAGAGTATAGATATATAGGGTAAAAGAAGCGTTATAAGTTCGACGTTCTCCCTCTTAGCGGTATAGTAGAGAATCCGCTCTATAAGGTTAAAATTATTTGCCGCGTAGCGTATATTATGTTCTACTTTATATTACTTAAACAAGTTTGCAATGATTCCTGTAGCCCTCTCATTTGGCAGCTGGCTTGCAAAATCTGCTACTGGTACTTCGTCCTCAGCGTTATATGATGTTCTCAAAAAAAAGCTCTGAATGGCGGGTGGGTGGCAGTCGTGACAGCAACTCCTCGACCAAATCCCCCTGGGCCCATCGAACAGCACTTTATATTACTTAAACAAGTTTGCAATGATTCCTGTAGCCCTCTCATTTGGCAGCTGGCTTGCAAAATCTGCTACTGGTACTTCGTCCTCAGCGTTATATGATGTTCTCAAAAAAAAGCTCTGAATGGCGGGTGGGTGGCAGTCGTGACAGCAACTCCTCGACCAAATCCCCCTGGGCCCATCGAACAGCTGACGCTATGAGTTCAGTCCGTATTTCTGCGCCAGCATTGAGAAGGGTGCGCACAAGCTCCATATCAATCTCTGCCTCTTCAAAGTCGCCCCACTTACGGACTGCGAGCTCAAGCGCTCCGCATTCTGCATACCGTCTGCCAGACTCTTCCACATTTGTCTTATTGACGTCTGCGGCTGCGGCGAGCAGGATCTTGACGATTCCCAGGTGGCGAGACTTAGCTGCAAGCTCGATAAGAGTAAACAGTCTACGTTCGCACATTGCTTGACACACGAGCTTATTCGGATCAATGGCGTTGGGAGAGTTATTAGTGGCCCGCAATATGAACATCACAGCGTCTTCATCACAACTGTCAACAGCAGCTCGAAACAAGTTATCACCGAGGCATTTTGCTTGCGCTGGAGGGCATGTTTTCAGACACCCTATGATTCGCAAGCTCATATGTTGCTTTACCCTCAACATTCTCAATATGCTCCAGATAGAATATCGGCCAGGCCAGCAAACCCGTTGGCAATCGAATACAAAAGCGTGATGT